TTGTTGAGGCTGACTTAGAACTTGTGATCCTCCTGGCCCTTCCTCTGGAGCTGCTGGGATTATAGGTCTGTGCCACCAAGCCAGGCTATCCTTCAGAATTTTTATTGAAGTGCCTAGTTCATACCCATTATTGGCATCGGAAAGACTCTTGACAGTTATAACTGCTTTAAAAATTCGTTTTCTTTTGCTTTTTAGTAAATATTAGCTAATTATTTTGGAATTTTTAAATTTCAAAGTGTTTTAGACTCCACATTGGTTCTCTTACGTAGCGATAACCATGAATTTGAACATTTATCTTTCTTGCTTGGCATTTTGGAATTCTGATGTGYTAAGAGCTGTCCATCAACTTTTGGTTTGGCTACCTTAATTGCTTTTTTGTGGAGATTAAGGTAGATTATGCTACATATGCTSTTGGTGCTGTATCTAGAGTGGTGTTGATGATCTTTGGCCTTCCAGGGACTCCAATTGTATTATATCAGATGTAGGATGAAGTTTCACCTGAGATCATGTGGTAATTTGAACACCTTTAATTAATCACTCTTCAATAAAATTTTTAAATGATACCATTAGAATGTAAGCTCTGGGGACAGTATTTGGTACCATGGTATATTATGCATGAGAACTGGTTTTTCAAGATTGACTTGAGGATTGGATGGTTATCAGGTAGAAGACTCTGCTCCTTTCTGTGATGTGAGATTCTTCAGAATGTTTCAAAAGGATGAAAGGGTAATAAATTAATCTTATGGTATTCTTGAAACCTTGTTTAAAGATTGGAGCTTATTAGAGGAGGAAGGGGCAGCTGACTTAAAAGATAAAAGACACTGTGAAATAAAGGTTTGCACTTAAAAGCATTTCAGTGGAGTTAATAGAAGAATTGATCCTTTAACATCTATTATTTATAGGTTTTAAATAATCAGAGAACAGTTGTATTCTTTGGCTTAGTTCCCCTGGTTCTCTTTTGTTTATGACATCTTCCCCCAACCAGTTTTATCATCATCACCATCGATTTTAATTATTAAATGCCCGACCTCATTCAAGGTTATCATATAAAAGTTAGTTTAGGGTCATTATGAGTTGATTGCTATGTATTATCACATGATAAATCAGTGGATAAATCTAGAGGGAATGAATTATTTATTGCATTTTGTATAAAAAGACTAACTTCTGCCTAAGTTTCTACATTGCTGTAGCTCAAGAATGGTTTGTGGTAGAATCTGGAATTTTGTCTATTAGGGGTAATGAATGAGACTTAGTAAAAGCAATGTAGCTAAGACTTCTCATAAATGAGAATGATAAATTCAGAATTCTGTAGTGAACATAGGAATTCTAATTTGTTTARGGACTATTTAAATTACAGAAGGATTCAATGGAATTTGAAGAGGGTTATGTTGACAGTATTCTGTGAGGAGGATTCCTCCTTCACACCTTAGATRTGACAACTAGAGCTCTTGGAATAACCTGGAGCAGAAGTTTTTATTTTTTTAAGGATATATTGAAGGGCACTAGTCCATGAATAATAATATTCTAGATGCTATCAGAATCCTTTAAGTTGACCAGTAACTCTTGGTATTCACGGTAATAGTACTGAGAACATTTTTTCAGGGAATATTATTTTTAGCCATTTTTTCACCTGAAATTTTTTTTTCCCTTACAGTTYTTCCGCCTTTGTGAGGAACCTTATCAAACACAATGGCTAGCAACGTTACCAACAAGACAGATCCACGCTCCATGAACTCCCGTGTATTCATTGGGAATCTAAACACTCTGGTGGTCAAGAAGTCCGATGTGGAAGCAATCTTCTCCAAGTATGGAAAAATTGTGGGCTGCTCTGTCCATAAGGGCTTTGCCTTTGTCCAGTATGTTAATGAGAGAAATGCCCGGGCTGCTGTAGCAGGAGAGGATGGCAGAATGATTGCTGGCCAGGTTTTAGGTAAGGCCTGGATTGAATTTTTATTTTCATGGATATTATGTAGGCCAGAATTTTTCTATTTTTTGTTTGTTTTTCTTTACCTCTCTATACAGTTGAGTCTAATACACTCTTTGGATATTGTGACATAACTTCAACAGTATTCTGTTTATATGTATAATGGGTTAAAAAGGTATTTGTAATTTTGAGGTAGAACCCAGACCACCTTAAGGTAGAAGTCTTGTTTGGTCTGGTAATAACATTTTATATGGAAATGTTATTTAAATGACCATATTCTTTTTCTTATTGATTGGAAGTCACAGAAGAGCTTAGTGGATGGCTKCAGGATATCTTGTTAATTATAGACTGCCTTAGCTTTGAAGTTTGTCTTTGTGAGTTAAAATGTAGATAATGATTGTATTGAGTTACACTCAATAAAAAAGGTACACTGTAGTTATTGGGAAAAAGTTTGTTATAATCATTTTTTCTACATTCTTAAGAATCCACAAAGTGTATCCCTTTTACCTCTAAAATGRTTTGTGGTAAAAATGAACTTCAATGAGTTCTGCAAAAATGTCATAAAATGAGCTGGGTGTGGCGGCACATGTTTATTATCCGCAAGACCTGGCAGCTTGAGGCAGGAGGATCACAAGTTCAAGGTCAGCCTCAGCAACTCAAAGACCTCAAAATAAATTTTCAAAAAATAAGTTTCAAAAAAGAATTATAGTGCCCCTGGGTTCAAGCCCTAGTAATAAACAAAAGTCTTAATATGAACATTACATGATTTATGTTGAAATTTTTTAAAATAAGTGATGATAGATATTTCTAACCAAATGTAATCCAAACTGACATCATAGGTARCAATTCATAAGAATTCCATCCACATTGATTTTTTTTTCCCTTTATTGTCTCAAATGTAAATTATTTATTTATTTTTACTGTACCGGTAATTGGACCCATGATCATTGTATCATTGAACTAYACCACTACACCAGGCATTTTTCATTTGGACACTGGATCTTGCTGGGTTGCTAAGACGATCCGATCCTTGAACTTACTATAGATGGGGCAAAGAATACCTTTATTTTACTTAGGGTTTTTTTTTTTTTTAATTTTTTAATTTAAATTCATTTTTTTATGTGGTGCTGRGGATTGAACCCAGTGTCTCATGCATGCTAGGCAAGTGGTGTCTCAATCTCTCAAGTAGCTGGAATCACAGATGGGCACCTCTGCTCACTGCTTTCAAACTTCAATCCTCTCTGTCTGCCTAAGAAATTGACTAGGTACCTTTTAAAAAGATTTTCCTTTTTTCCCATGCATATGAAGTCAGTGTTAATATTATAATCAACAGCACATCTGAATGTAGTCTTAACTACATTTCAGATATCAGTAGATCAATAAAGGTTAGTGGCTTATTTTAGTAGGCCTTGTAGAGATTGGAAGTAAGGTTCAATTTATATTGATTAATTTGCTACTTGAGTATTTCATGAGTAGAAATATGATTATGTACATCTTATGTATCAGGTACATTAGCATGGTTGTCCCATTCTTAGTAATGTTAAGACTTATCTTGTGTTATCTTGTGGGTTTAAGCTCTATAGATCCCCATTCATTATATAGCTTCCCAACAATTTTTATCTTGCAATCCTGCATTGATGGTCATTCATTGGATATTTTAATAGGGATCCAAAACATGGGTTTTCTAAGTCTGCATACAGTAATTTTCCCTAAATAAATTCCTTCTGCAAATACCAGWTAAATCTTTGTTTTAAATCCTGGGTCTTTCACATTCTGATATGTGGAACAAATATTTTTGCAGACTCTAAGTACATTGCATTTATTATCACTATGAATATGTATTTTTAAAAATTGATGGTTTAGTTTGTTGCAGAATTTTTTTTAGATCCCAGGAACTGTTTTATTTATTAAAAACTTTACTTGTAATGTTACATAACATACATCCTTGCTTTAGTCAGTACAATAAGCCCCGTTCTCTTGACTTTTGAGTTGAGATTGGAACACTTGTTCCTTTTCATGGAAAGACTTCAAAACTAAAACTCCATATCCTAGGCATATTTGTGTTTCATTCCTTCAGGCCAGTTTAGTGAGGCATACAGAGGCATTTTCTTGAAAAGAAAAYATATAGGAACATTGGGTGACAGAAGGTAGTCTAGTGTGTTTTTTATCATCTACTTWTGAGAATATTTTATAGAAGTATGCAGCTGATCTTATTTGTAAAGGAAGTAAAAATTTAACTTTGGATGAGAGTGTCACACTTGAACTATGTTAATTTTTTGTGATTTTGACATTTTATCTCTTGTTAGTCACACATTCTAGTAGATTTATTAGAAGAGTTGAGTTTTGAAGTTGGAGCTGAGGTTAGAGATTGCCAGATATATACTTGGGTGATGTTGGGATAATAATTTTGGTATAGAACAGTATAACTACTGAAAGGTTGAATCATAGCCCTTTATGTACCTTATAAGGGAAGTTTGAGACAATGTTGTTAGACTTTTGCTTGATATGATTGTGTTTCAAAAACTTAGTTTGTGGATTCTTTAATATCCAGAGTTGTCATTAAGGTTCTTCTTTTTGTTTTTGTGTTTTTCAGATATTAATCTGGCTGCAGAGCCAAAAGTGAACAGAGGAAAGGCAGGTGTGAAACGATCTGCAGCGGAGATGTACGGGTCAGTACCAGAACACCCTTCTCCGTCCCCTCTACTCAGGTCCGGAACTTTATTATTTATAACTGCATTGTGTCCATCAATGGGCATCTTCTCTATCTGTTTTCTGGATGTGGGGAGGGTTTAATGTAATGTGTTTTATTAGTACAAAAGTAATTCTTTAGTAATTATTTATTTTGTGTTAATGTACCTCATTTTGCCCATTTCCTAGAGAATTATTATAAATCCTGACTTGTTTGCAATTAAAGAGTATTTTTGTATTCATAGAATAAATTAAAATCTGTCAASTGTTGTTTAGATTCTTAGAAGCTGGGAAATATTAAAGGGAAAAATAGTGATATAAGCTTTATTTATTATTGTAATGTTCAGTTTTCTTGTTTTAGCTGATAATGTTATATGTTAGCATTACTGATTTTGCCATTGCATGTGCAGTGGTCTAAAATGTTTAGAATTTAGTGATTCATTGTTTGAATGTTTTGTAATTATTCCATGATAATTTTTAAAATCTGTATGTTGTGATTTGTTTGGCATGTTTTTCCCCCGTCTGCTGTAGTGAAGTAATTTCAACAGCTCCAAATTAATTTTCCTTGTTATTTATTTTTCAGCTCCTCTTTTGACTTGGACTATGATTTTCAACGTGATTATTATGACAGGTATGTTCAAGGTCTTTTTTAAACTATCAGTAAATACCATTGTGTTTTTATTTTGTAGTACATTTTTTCTTGACGTAATGAATAGTGTTTTTGAAGAGATAAATCTCTCTTCATCAAAATAAAATGAAGTAACCTCACCCCCAATTGTCAAGTATACTTGGTAGAGAATCATAACTGGTTTTTTTTTTATATTTTATTAGTTGTTGATGAACCTTTATTTATTTATATGTGGTGCTGAGGATCGAACCCAGTGCCTCACACATGCTAGACAAGCATTCTATCACTGAGCCACAGCCTCAGCCCGAGAATCATAACTGTTGATTCCAAAGAATCAGCATAGTTAGGGTATCAAAGCAAAATTATTAAGTGCTTTTTAAAAAATACTTTTGAAAAATCCAAAAGTCTGCTTTGAACATTAATAAAAAATAAAGTGAGCAGGAGGTCAAGAATGAATAGTTTMAATTGGTATAGAAGTTAAAATATTTTTTTTGTGTGTGTAGTATAGTTCTAAAAGATAAGATTGGTAGTATAATGATTAAAATTTCTTTTTGTGCTTTTAGAACAGGATTAACGTTTGTTGGAGAAATAACATTTGACGAATTGGTTTAYTTAATGGTTTAAATGTAGATAGATACAGTATTTGTTTATTTAGGTAARTGCTATACCACGGGGCTAAAACCCCAGTTCCTATGAATGGCTTTTAATGATGAGTTTTTTGCTTTTTCTCAGTAACCTTTATAAAAAAGTTAGGATTTAGAATTAGTATAGGACTGTTCTGACAGGGAGTGAATTAATATGCTAAAAAATGTGGCCACGTTGACATTTAACTCACTGTCTTTTACTATCTGTAGTATATAGAAAGAAATGATGTATACTATACACATAATTAATATATACTTTAAATTTTACAGATAGAGCATGGTACTAGTTTTTTCACTTCAGAATGCCAGTGTTCCAGACATTAAGCAAGCATGGTAGCTCATATTTATAATACCAGCTCCTTGGTAGGCTGAGACAGGAGGCTTGAGAGTTCACTGCCAGTCACGGTAACTTAGTGAGACCATGACTCAATAAGAAACAATAAAGGACTCAGGCAGAACCCCCATAGATCAAGTGAAAATTTCCATTATCGTGAAATACCACACATTATATTATATTATAATATCAGAAGGATAAGGTGGGGAAAATAGTTGTTTCATTTTCCCCTAAGTTCTTGAATTTATATATGTTCAGTGCTAAGAATTGAACCCAGGGCCTCACAAGTGATAGACAAGTGCTCTATCAAATCTATTTATTTTTATGTGGTGCTGAGGTTTAAACCCGGTGCCTAACCCATGCAAGGCAAGCGTTCTACCACTGAGCTGTGGTCCCAGCCCAGTTAAAACCTGTATTTTGAAAACCAGTTTTCTTATGTGAATTCCTGAGAAAATTTGGAACTTACCATGACTTTCTGGTTGATAGAATACATTTGGACATTTCTTTGCTATTTAAAATTTGAGCCTGTTGTGGTAGGGGTATACCTGTTTTATTTGTGATCAGGGTCAGATGACATAGGAGGATGAAGAGTTCTAAGCCAGTCTTAGCAGCTTAGACTATCTGAAAATAAACGGGCTTTGAGTGTGCCGCTGTGGTAAAGTTGAATCCTCAGTTAAAAAAAAAAAGCCACACCCAAAATTGAAGTCACTCTTTTCAGTGACTTGCAGGCATTGAAACCTATGAATTATTTTGAAGCAGCCACATTTAATGCTTATGATAATCACTTGGTTTCCCAAATACTCATACATACCTTTAAGGGATTGTAAACACAGCTGATTAAGACTCTAAGGTGCTGCTTTTTGCCTTTTTTTTAAGCTTCCCAACATGTTGTTGTTCAGTTATGGCTGGCAGTAACACAAGAATAAGGAATGTAGCTGGACTTGTGGCTCAGTGGTAGTACTGGGTTCAATCCCCAGCACCACATAAACAAACTACATAAAACAAAATCAAGCTTATTGTGTCCATCTACAATTGAAAATATTAAAAACTCAAAAAAAGAATTAAGAAATGAATTTATTTCTTGGGGTATTATATTGTGTTTATGTCATGGCGGTTTTTAAGAAAATTCTAGAATGTTTTGATACAATTTGGGAGATATCCCCATCTCAAGCTTGTGATACAGTTTATATCTTTATGAAGACAACCAACCTCATGGAAAAGTTACTTTTGGGCAATCATTGTTATTGAAYCTGGAGGTGTTTAACCACCTAGTCACACCCCTCAGCCCTTATTTTTTATTTTTAGATAGTGTCTCACTAAGTTGCTGAGGCTGGCCTGAATTTGGCAGCCCTCCTGCTGGGATTAAAGGCAATATGCCATTGTACCTGGCACTTATTCTTCTCTTCATGTGTGATTAAGCTTCATATTATCTCACTATAAGTAAATAAGTTTGAAAACAAATGTTCTYCTGAGATATTTTAAAAAATTAGTTAAGAGTAGAAACAGACTGGGGCTTGGGCTGGGCCTCAGCAGTAGTGCACTTGCCTGACATGTGTGAGGGTTTGATTCTCACCACCGGATATAAATAAATAAAAGTCTATCATCAACAACTAAGAAAATAAAATTTAATAAAAATTAGAGACAGACTGCAGAGAGTAGTTTAGAAATTACATATATGCAGAATTAGTTTTAAATTTCTTAAAATTGCTGTTAATCTTAATGATTGATGGTCCTACTCTTCAGTTTTTCAAATATCTTTAAGATATTCTCAGCTTCGTACATTAATATTCTTGCATTTTAACTTCAGCCAACAGGAAAAAGTTTCTGATGACTGATGTAGCCAATAGGTGTAATATTTGATTGCCCTGAAGTATTGAGCTTTGTAATGGGGAAGTAAACATGTTCATTCAAGATTTTTTGATAACCATACATTTGTGAGTTAATTGGGGAATTCAACTCATGTTTAATAGTGTAGATATGTAAAAAATGGAAGTGTTCCCTTAGTCTTATACGTGAAATATTCAGTAGAAGAGTGCTTATTTGAGAAATAAGGTGTTAAGTAGGATCTTAGAAATATTTGGCTCGATAGGAATTGGTAGGGAATCTAATCTTTAGAGMAATGTAAATCATTCTGAAGATACTTTTATTTATTTTTTAGTGGGGGGTTTGAACTCTTGTTATTATTTTTAGACAGGGTCTTRCAAAGTTAGGGGCTCAATAACTTGACGCACACTATCCTGATACTTGTATTCTTATTACCTWGGCCTCCCAAGTTGCTGGGAAATTAGGTGTGTGAATTCAGGTCTTTGATGTTAGTAGTTAAACATGAACCCTGGGTTCTATCAAAAAATATTTTTTTTAATGGTGAATTCACCTTTTATTTATACTATGGAACATTTGACTTTCTAAAATACACATCAAATATGTGTAAATGCTAATAGTGTAATGAGTTGCCACAGAATGTCATCCAATACCTGATCAGTTTTCTACCAGTTGATTGTATTATTCTGTCTTGTGTATTTCCTGAGAATTGGTAGATCAGTCTGTAGGATTTATTAGATTTAGGTTTTTTTTTTTCTCTCTCCATTGGTATAGTTGGGAGAGGAGGCATAATACTTGGTGCTTTAATCACGAATGGCCTACTTTTTTGAGAGGAACTACAAGAATGTTAAGTATTTTGCATGGGGAAACTTCTGTTTTACCAACTAGAAAATAGATAGTTATAACATTGCATTTTGTTTAGGGAATTCATGATTTATGGTTTGGTATTTTTTTGCCTTTTGAGTGGTCAAGTACTCAAACTCTAAATTAYTTAAATTGGGGGGTAGTAAACAGTTAAAAACTTAAATATCTTTGTGTCATAGTACTAGGAATGTAGTTCATTATGAGCTCTTATCTAGCATGTCTCCAACACTGAATTCAGTCCTCAGAATTTTAAAAAATGTGAGTCATTTATTTTCATAATGTGCTGTTTTAAGAGAAGGCGATCATTCAATACAGTGATGCATTCAATACCCTTACATGTTGCAGTGCAGTAGGGTACTGATTTTTGTTATTACCTATTTTACACTTTATTTTCTTATCGTGTAGTGATGGTATATTCCAATGTTTCTTATTACGAAGTTTTCCTTTCCATTTGTCATGACACTGTTTCTTAAATTACTTCAGTAACTTATTTAGCTTGCAACCGCATAAAAGTTCTTAGATGCATAATTTGCCAGTGTATGGCAAATTACTGTTTTAGACTTGCTCCTTACTATATCAAGCATAGTTCATTATTCTCTATAGATTTGTTGGGCTGGGGTTGTGGCTCCGAGGTAGAGGGCTTGCCTACCATGAGTGAGGTCCTGATTGGTTCAGTCCCCAGCACCACATATAAATAAATATTTTAAAAAAGATTTGTTACTCCCTGTAGATTTGTTACCTAACATTTTTCTGTTACTTATAAGAGCCTATAGTAGCTTTGAACTTTTGACATATATATTGATGTCTTATCTGTAAGTTACTTATAGATATATTTATATGTAGATGTATGTAAATATTTATCTAAAGGCCACCTGTATGCCTGTAATCCCAGCAACTTAGGAAGCTGAAGAAGAAGGATGGCAAGTTCAAGAGCAGCCTCAGCATCTCAGTGTTGCACTGAATAACTTAGGAAGACCCCATCTCAGAAAATACAACGGGTGGGAATATGTCTAATTGGTGTAATTTCTTCTACCAGTATGTTTGGCAGAATGGTAAACAACAGGATAGGCTGTGCGTTGATTATTTGAAAATCGTTGTAACTRTGAAACTTTGTTCTTATAGGACCAGTGTCAGTAAAATGGCTTTTTAGTCATTTCAATTAATTCACTTTAAAAATTACTTCTCAAAGAGTATTATACATCATTCCAGTAGTGTTTGCAATAAAAGTATGTTTTGTGTCCCCAACTTTATTTAGTATACAGTAAACTTTTGAGTTATAAACCTTAACTAAAAAAGAAATTTAACAGCTCAATTATGTGCAATGTTATTCTGATTCTTTT